GGATCCAAATATTACAGCACAGCCAATGCCTGGAGGCATCATAAATGATCCTTCAACTGCCTACGGCTTCAGCAGAACTTAATTATCTAAATAGTAGGCAACTTGCCTAAGGTTTCTCTACCAGAGCTCACCATTTTATGATATAAACTTACCAGTCTAGGTACTCAAGAGTCAGGATAACTTGTAAATCATAAATCTTCCCCAAATTACTGGCCCGAGAAGAGCCTGGAGCCCTTTTCTAATGGAGGAAAAACAGGGCATAAGGCCCAAATCACTGACATAATATTTGAAAAATCATGTCCAAATTTATTATGTGTATTTGGTATTATCTGGCTATACAAAAGTGGCATCATTTTATTTATTTTATTTTTTTGAGAGAAAGAGAGAGAGAACATGCAAGGTGGGGGGCGCAGAGGGAGGGAGACAGAGAGAGAATCTTAAGCATGCTCCACGCCCGGCCTGATGAGGGGCTCAATCTCATGACCCCGAAATCATGACCTGAGTTGAAATCAAGACTCGGACGCTTAACCAACTGAGCCACACAGGTGCCCCTAAAGTGGTATCATTTTAAAACTGTTCAATGGATAAGGACCCACGGAAGTTTCTGCTTTATATAATTTCTCCTTCAACCAGAATTTACCTCCACATCCAGTGTGGATTGTCATCTGGCCACACACACAAACTCAGCTCTCTCGTAGACCTGACTGTTCTAATGACATTCATGAGGACAGGACTCCACCAGGCCATCGGTGTTTCTAATTCTCAGCCATTGGTACAGTCCGCACGATTGAATGCATCCTTTGTGGTTCTAGAAACTGACTTCTAAATTTAGGTTGATGTACAGAGCATACAATACATACTTTGAAAAAAAACTGGGCCTGAGCCAGCCCCGCCCAGATTTAAGGGCCTGGTAACCTTTCGTGGAGAACACAGAGCTTCTCAATGGCTCACTGTTTACGTTTGCCGGGAACTACACCTGGAGAAATGTTTCGAGTTTTCTTTCTATTGTCTTTTCCTAACCTTTCATTTACTTATACTCAGTGTTTTTGATTTTTTTCCTAATCCTGTAGCTAAGGAGCAGCCTCGATCAAATTATGGCAGTAGAAGCCCACTGCAGGAACGGTGAGTAGGTCAGGAAGAAGTACCACCGGCAGGGCTGGGTGGGTGCCAGTTTGTGGGAAAAACTCAAACCAGGTGCGAGTAAGGTGGGAACTAACTGGAGGCGCCCACATGGGGTACCAGTGCTTTCTCCTGGAATCAGATGCGAATGCATGATGGGCCCAGGGTGGCTACCTGGAAACCAGAATTTTTTAAGGAGGAACTTTGCCCTATTAACATTTCAGCTGGAACTCTGGGGCTTGCCAATTCTACAACATCTTTCTGGTATCTTTCTCTTTCTCTTTACTGATACCATTTGTGGGACATCGTTATTGTGGAATGACACCTCCAAGCAGTATCTCACCTCCTCTTTCTCTAATCCTTACTATTGAAAATTCGCCCCACCCCACCCAGAGACAGGACACTTTTATACATCCCTCGAAGCTTCTCATAACTATCTAGCTCCTCCCCACACCTACCCCACAGCCATCCAGCAAGCTACAAATCCTCAAGTCAGGCACGGTGGTAGGTGGTAGTGTGGGGTAGGGATGGGGAAGACAAAGATGGTCCTCCTATTTCTCACCCTTAGGCACCCAAACACTGAGGGGGTATGGCAGAGGAGATACGCACTTAGCAGGAAATTATAATCCAATGCCCGCAGCTGTGGCACTGAGTAGAGGAGAACCCAGAGTTGGAGTACCAATTATCTGGGAGGTGGGTGATTGGAGATGGCTTCCAGAGGTGCCATCCAAGGTGGATTACAAAGGATGAATCGGAGTTAGATAGAGATGGTAGGAGGGATATCCCAAAGACCATCCCCCCCAAATTAAGTGAAAATTGGGAAAGTGTGTAGGACTAAGGAGTTGCTGGAACATGAAGTCTGAGGCATCAAGTAAAAAGGAAGTAGAGAGATGGGTCAGGGAAGGGTAAGGGTAAGGAGAAGTCAGGTCATGGAGGTCATGTCACCATAAGAACTTCAACCTGATCCTCAAGATAATGAAAAGCCACTGCAAAGCTTGAAGCAAGGAAACAAGCATTGTACTAACCTATCTGAGAGTTGTGTGCACTTGCCATTGTTGTGTTCTGGGAAGCGAAGATCCCTGGAGACTTAGTTCCACCAAATGGTTTGAGTCCAGATTATAAAATGCTTCCAAATAAGAAAAACTTAAGCATTTAAATTAAAATTAGCTTCCTAAATATCTGCATATGATCTATGTAAATAAATAACATATCCAGTAGTCCTTTGTTTCTCATGAACAATAGGGTGCCTAAAATAAAGATCATTTTTCTTTTTCTGTGTATTTTTGTGGTAAACTTAAAAACAGTATATGTAAAATGAACAAGAGGCGCCCGGCTGGCTCTGTTGGTAGAACATGTGACTCTTGATCTCGGGGTTGTAAGTTCGAGCTCCAGTTGGGTGTAGAGATTACTTAAGAAAAAAAAAACCTTTAAAAAAAAAAAGACTTCTACTCATTGTAACGGCAAAGTCCTCAAGATACTTCACAGTGATTAGGTTCAGAATCTCAGCCTGGTTGCTTTTCCCCTCACCAGCCTTTTGTAAGAACATTAACTGAAGAACACCTCCCATTTCCGCTCACAGAAGGAAGAGCCAGACCAAAGCCTGTTGCAGATGGGGACTGAGGAAATTGGCACAGAAGCCTGTGTGGGGTTGGCAACCAGTTCTGGCAAGGACACCTTCCCATGACTCCAGCTAGCACAGTGGCCCTGCTAAGCCTCAGCATGTTCACTGTGTTCCAACACACACACACACACACACACACACACACACACACACACGCACACACACACACACGCACACATACACCAGCGCTCCATATTCCTGCTAACCTTATTTCCAGCTTAAAGTGGTCAGGTGGAGCTTACTTCCAGTGTTCTGCCCCTCCTCCTCCATCCTTACCCTATCCCCTTTCTGGAATCCTGCAGGGGATTTGCTTTACTTTTTTTTTTTTTTTTTTTAAAGATTGTATTTATTATTTGAGAGAGAGAGAGTGCGTGTGAGTGCTTGAGAACAAGCAGGGGGTGGAGAGAGGGACAAGCAGACTGAGCTTGGAGCCCACACTGAGCTTGGAGCCCAGTGCTTGGAGCCCACACTGAGCTTGGAGCCCAATGCTTGGAGCCCACACTGAGCTTGGAGCCCAATGCTTGGAGCCCACACTGAGCTTGGAGCCCAATGCAGGGCTCGATCTCAGGATCCTGAGATCACGGCCTGAGCTGAAATTGAGAGTAGGACGCTTGACCAACTGAGCCGCCCAGGCGCCCCGGGAATTTACTTTAGATATAGGAAAGAAGAAATGATTATTCCTTCCTTTCCTGGTGCAAATTCAAACTTCAGGTCACACGAATCCAGGATTAGATCCCAGCTTTGCTTAGACAAGCTGTGTAAAGAGGAGCATATTACTTCAATCTCTCTAAGCCTCCTTTTCTTCCTCTGTACATGAGGATAACAATGATTACTTCTTATCCTTGAAAGAAATGATGTAGAACATACATCTGGAGCAAACTGTATCGACCAACATAGTATTAGATGCCACCTACAGCATATTTACATGTGTTTAAAATAGTCATTTGTAAACAAGAAGAATGAACACTCACTACACTCTGGTAAGTGTTGGTTTACTCCCGCTCCGACAAGTCTTTGTGATCTGACAATTTAGTAGCCCACAGGACAGAGTATGTCTCTGTTCCCAGTCACCTTGCCTGTCCTCTTTCTGCCCTGAGTAGACTTTGTGACCACCACTCCAGCTTGGCTCTTAGGAACGCTGAGTAATTGAGAAAAGAGTCACTGCTATGAATGTACTTTCATCTACGAAGGTAGCTTGAAACCTCACTCAAATGTGTCCTCGGTAACAATACTCCATGTAAGAGCAGGGATAGGACCACCCTCATACAGGGCTGATACCCACAGCCATGCTGTCACAACAGTGGAAACTCGTTTATTGGGACATCACCAGGAACAGGTGCTACAGGTCACACAGGTGTTCTCAGACAACACACGGAAAACAGAATTTTGAAAAGAAACTCAGTCCTGAATCCAAGAGGGAATTTGGAGCTGTTTTCTGCCTACAGTGGCCTGGCATACCTCGGACCCCTTTCCAAATGATCATAAACAACAGAAAAGACTTCCCAGTCTATGAAATCAAGAGACCGCAAAGTGGAATTTCCAATAATCTGTGACTTCGAAATTGAAAATTTACTTTGGATCACCTCCAGCTGTTGATCAACTCTGGGGATTCCAATTCATTTTACCCATTCTTCTCGACAACAAAATATCAGACTGTTTTTGTTGAACCAAGTTGGTTGAGACCTGGGTACTTGATCAGGTCTTAGATTAGAGACATTTAACTGAAGAGACAATTTATCAACTTCCAAAGAAGATTCACAGATTCTAAAAACAGCCCCACCGACTTTGAGCAATGACTTTGAGGATGAATGGGATACTGTGTGACATGCTCTGAAAGAAACACTACCTATTTCAAGTCATAAATTCTAGAATGCTTATTAAAAATCAATTTCAACATGTTATGGCTGTGCTTATCAAGGACATGAAAAGCATTCATTCACAAGACTGAGCTAGTATATGTCAATTACACCTCAATTAAAAAAAAAAAACACAAACAAAAGACTGAGCTACATGATACAAGATCAAAGACAGCTTTGCCAGAGCTCCTGCAGCTCTTGCATACTTCTTAGATCACTATACCGCACAGTTACAAGAGAGTTGGCACTAAGCTGGTCACTAAAAAGCAACCAGACTAATAGAATTCTAAGCATTAAATTTTTTTTTTCAAATAATTCCAAACAAGTCTGTTCTCTAGAAGCGTTGGATGTTAGTGAACTCAATCTATGAATAAGAAAAAATTGGAATGGATATCAGCACATACCTGGAATCCTATTAAGTGTCACCCAGAAATGTTCATCGGGGCTGTAAGTATCTTTTGACCAGTGTAGTAGATCAATGGCCCTTTTGTCATGGAAGACAAAGTCGACAAACTCTCTGGTAAGGGCCACATAGGCAGTGCCAAAGTAGATGGTCAGCTGATGTGGAGGTGAGGTTTTCAAAATATTTGTATTTTTCACAAAGGAGCCATCTTCGCCTATATGCTCCCGGTGGACGAATTTAGTCCGCTTAATTGCGTGATTGGGCGGCAGCACCCCCGGGGTAATGTTTTTCCCTTTAAAGCCTTTCAGATACCGAATTATCTCCTTGTTGGTTTTCAGGGGAAAGTCTTGCCCGCACGTGTTGATGGCGTACTTCCACGGCACCTTGGACGCCACGAGGTCTTTTAGGCAGTTCAGGTCAGCCTGGAGCCTGGAGATACCCCCATAGACCACTGGCTCCATCTTGGAAGCAACAAAAGCATTTGGGAAGCAACTCAGTAACTGCCACACAGATTCCTTAAACTCAGCTGTGGCTTTCTCATCCACATGAACGCAGTAGACATTTTGGGGCATATAGATAGCCCTGAAGAGCCTTTCAAAAGTATCAAAGTCCTTATGGATGACCATGACATAAGCCAAAGGAAAAGCAACTTCTTCTTCCGACAGGGGGCTGGTGATGTAGTGATTTTGGATCAGGTAGTCCTTACAGGGGACACTCCCCAAAGGTGATGGCAACATCTTTCCCCACAAAAAAGTGGACTTATCTTCTAAGGCGTAATCACAGGCGTGTATTCTAAAATACCTGTGACTGGAGCTATTCAGCATCCCGAAACTCTTTGGCAGGTGTAACGGGCTATTATAAAATATCACAAAAATAACCCCACTGAACACAGTGAAAGCAAAAAAGCAGTACCTCCAAAAGTTCATTATTTTCACTTCCTTGAGGAAGGAATCTCTCTCCAAGGATTGACAAATGACCAGTCCCTGAACCCGCAAGTGTGAAGAGGTTGAACCGCTTCTCTTCCCAGTCCTGAATTTCGGCAAGCTTCTCCAGAGGGCTTGAGTCCTTCAATCCTCATTTATTGTCCGCTCCAGCGTGGCGTCCATCCTCTGCGGCGCGAGCCGGACGAGAGATGCTGCCCTAGCTCGCACCGCTTTTCTCGGACCCCGGGTGCTGAATCCCGAGCGGCCAGCAGCGCCACGCTCCGCCCAGCCCCACTTCCGGAAAGCCTTCCTCCTATGCATACGAAATGCAAGTGGTGGATCTTAGCAAATTACGTTCTGGAAAGGACTGACGGGTCCTTTTCACTGGGGCTGAGTTTCCCTCGCCTCACCCCGCCCCCCTTCCATCCCATCAACTCGGATCTGATCTCCTGGCTCTTCCGCAGCTCTCTCCTCCTCGCCTTTTAGAGTAAGTGCTTCTACTTTTTCTGCTTCGCCCCCGCAACCTGCCAGCCCGCCTTGCAAACCACAACATTTAGGACTTCTGCCCCTCGGCTTTATTCGTCTTCCCGTTTCTCTGCCCCTCTTTTGCATTTCAGTGTTATTTCTACCTCTGGGCACACAGACACGGATAAGAAAAAAAAAATGCACTTGTAATGGGCGTAGGTAAAAGATTATCAGCGGCCAAAGAGTCTGTGGCAAGCTGGGTTAAATCCGTTTCCAGTGGTGTTACATAGCCTATACATGTTTGTGTAGGCTATGTATGGGAAGAGAGAAAAAAGAATTACACTCTTGGGGCATGGGATGAGGGCAGAAGGAACCTTAGCAGTGACTTGTAACATTAAAGGGTCGGTGTGGATGACATAAATGAAAGAAACACACTTTCGTTTGCACGCCAGAGGGAAAGGTGATAGTCATTGTTCCCAGAAAGTTGGTTCCCATTTTCACACAGAGCTTCAGATATCTTGAACTCCTAACACGGCAGTATCTACAATATATGGAGTCACTTGCCACTGGTCTTTCGAAAAGTCTGACATCTTCCGATCTGAGGTCATTTCATACAAATCAAAGAAGTCTCTTTCCCACCCAGCCCCCTCTCTCCCACTTCCTTAACTCTGAAGAAAGAACAAAGGCTTCAGGGCTGCTGCAAAATTCCTGGAAGTACCAGTCAGTGTAATTCAGGGGAGGCAGGACTGGAAGCCCAGCAGGTCTGGTCACATTACAGAGCGGTTGTCATCGCTCATCTGTGCAGGTGCCTGGAGCACTCAGCAAATGTGGAGTGCGCTGTAGACTTAGGAGGGTGGTAAGGATGCTTCTGGAGGAAAGTAATTCATCCAGCTAAAAAAAAAAAAAAAATCAATTGTGGCAGCCACAATGGTAGCTAAAGCGGCCTGCGCCCCTCTCAGCCCGCAGTCACCCAGCCTTCCTCCCTGTCTGGGCACTGTGGCCGTTGGAGCAGTTGCCTCTGTTAGGAAAGTGTTTGGTGTATAATGCGGTAATCTCCCTGCCCCCTTCCTATCCCCCTTAGCTTACTATAATCCACAGAGCTAATGAATGACAACAGTGGCTTGGAGGTGACGGGTCTTGATTTGGAAACAGACTCAAAGATCATCTAACACGGCCCTTTATTTTACAGATGAGGAAAATGGAAGGCAAGAAGAATATTTTTTTCCCAAAGTCATTGAGCTGGACTGAAGCCAGAAACCTTCACTCTGCAGCTCCCTTGTCCAGATGCTGAAGCCGGTCTATTTGGCTTCAAACCGCCGCTGGTCAGTGACCAGCTGAGAGACCAGGCTAAAGTTACTTAACCTCTCTTAGCCCCAGGTTCTTCCTCTGTGAGATGGAAAAATTACAGCGGTTCCCATTTCGCACGGTTGTGAAGAACAGTAAATGACTCTTGTTGAGGGTTTGGGTATACGATCACGTGTTCAATACGCATTACCAGTTACTGTTGTCATTTCTCTTTTGAAAAATATCCAACATTGCTTCCCGTGTGAATGAACTGATATTTTGACTTCTGTTCTTAGTAATGGAAAAGAGAAACGTTTCCACTGGGTTGATTTATTCCCACTGAACACGAGGGGAGGTTCAATCCCATTCTTCTTCTCCCCCATCGCTAGCCCCCTTTGGCCCAGACAAAAAGTAGAAATACGGCTATGGGAAGGGAAGAACTGAATTGTCCATTTGGATGCTTTCATTTCCCTTTATTCTAGTTAGAGCCACACCCTTTTCTGCAAAATACATCCTTGGCCAGACTTGTGGAGAGCAGGAAGGAAGGAGCCAAAGGGAGGAGCGGAGGCACGGGCTCTCATCACAGATTTTTGGGTTCTTCCTTCTTTTTGCCTTGAGCCTTGACCCCACAAGAGGGAGCCCTGCTGGAATGCCCATCCAAAGCAAACTCAACAAATCTTTAATCATGATCTAGTCAAAGCAGATTGCAAATGGGGTGGGGAGTGGGGTGAGGTGATTTACAGTTCAAAACACCAGTACCCCAGAAACCCTTCTATAGTCTGTCCTGCCTTATTTACAGTGCTTTGAATGGAAAACCTGACTTGAAAATGGGATGCCTGCTAAGCACTTAGCCCAGCGGGTAGGTTTGTTTTGCTTGGTATCTGTGGCAACTGAACAGGCATTTTCTTCTAGCAAATCACTAGGCGGGCTAAGCTATTAACTTCCAACCAGTACATTATTTCTGCTCTGTTCACTCTAGTTGGCTTCACATACTGAAAACCGTCATCATGTGGACATTTTGTATCACACTCCCTGCCTCTCTCGGTCCCAGGATAATCTTTAACATCACCAACAAGGAGACAGCACCCAGACAGGGGCTAACGGTGCATAATCCCCTCAGCTCAACATGAAAGCAAAAGGTGAGCCTCTGGGGCTTTCTGAGAACACGGTGGGATCTTTTTTCCCTCACAGGCCCATAGTTCTCATGAATGTTCTAGGAGCTCTTTGTCCACCCCAGCTGGGCCACGAGAGATAACCGCGAATGCTGGTGCGGTGGTCACAGGGGCAGGGGAGGAATCCAAGCCTGACTCCTTCCCAAGTGCTCAGAGTTCTCCTTGACCTCAGATCGCTCCTCCCAGCTTAATTATTGCTACAGAATCAAGGTGATGCTTTTTGATGGGCCCCCTGACCTCTGCCAAGGGTACACCATTGGGTGTCAGTCTGACAACCCAAAACACTTTGGCAGCACGGGAGACCCAGGAAGCAAACAAGATCTCCCAGCAACCAAAACAACGATCACAACGCCGTGGACTGGACTCACACACTGGAACATAGAGAGGACAGTAAATGAAAAAAGGAAGTGAAGCTGGTGGAGGAAGGGAAAGACAGGACTAGTAAGTTCACGAGTGGCAGTGAACACTTGGCCGAAGTGTCATGGACACCTGGAGGGGGAGGGGAGGGTGGGGACCGCAGCGAAGAGCCTGGGTCCCACCTAAAGCAAGCAGCTCCAGCTCAGCGCCGGCTGTTAATGCCATGCTGGTCATAGGACCAGTGCTGCCAACTCTTCAGATATTTTAAGAGAAGTGAGAAAGCTGAATTATATATATATATATATGTATATATATATATATACACATATATATATAAAAAGATCCCAAACTCTTTAAATGTTACCAAGTCACTAACACATTTCTAAGACACAAGTGCATGCATGCATATGCACCCCCAAAGACTGCATTTGGCCCTAAAGATGCCAGTTTATCATCCTTGTTTTAAGCATTAAAGGTCAGGTACTTTGAATCCCTCTTGAGACTTAGCCTCTGGACTCTTCATTTAGACACCATCGTAACAAACTGACTCGGAACTGAACAGATAAGAAGTCACAGATTAAAAGAGGGATGTAGCACTGAGGAACGGGGCACCCTCGTCAAGAGGTGGCAGACAGAAGATGAAGTAGCTTCCAGAAAAACTCCAGGAGCAGAGCAATGCACAATCATTCAATAAAAGGATGGCTGGCATTCATATAGCTCGGTGACTATTTTATTACTGTCGATCAGGACCTCCAGTATTTGTAAATTATCAAATAAGTTAATGTCACTGTGAAAGGGTTTGACAACCGTAAAGATCACTGCAAACATTGGGCCAACCAGACTTTCTTTGAAAAGAAGCAGAGTACTAACATCTAGTGAATAGAAATATAAATGTATTTCTGTATCTTATGCATACATGCTGCAGATGCTATTTAAAAAGTCATTTGGGGGGGGGGCCCTGGGTGGCTCAGTGGGTTAAGCGACCACCTTCGCCTCAGGTGATGATCCCGGGGTCCTGGGATTGAGGCCCGCATTGGGCTCCCTGCTCAGCGGGAAGCCTGCTTCTCCTTCTCCCTCTGTCACTCCCTCTGCTTGAGCTCTCTCTCCCTCTCTCTCAAATAAATAACTAAAATCTAAAAAAAAAAGTCTTTTGTGAAATGTTTATTCAGAATCTTTTTTTAATAAACCTTTTTCTTCACAAAAGGGGAGGCTTTTGGTTATTTAATAAACTCACAATTATGACAAAAATTTTTCCCTGAAAGTATTAGGCAATTATGTTGACCACATGATCCTATATCAGGCATCAACATTTCTTCTATAAAGGGCCACGTAGTAAATATTTTAGACTTGTGGGACTTTTGATCTCTGATGCAACCACTGAGTGCTGTTACCACATCATGAAAGTAGCCATAACAATATTGCCTGTGTCTTGCTAAATCTTAATTTATGGATACTGACAGCTCAAGTTCATGTAATTTCCATGTCACCAAATCGTCTTCTTTTGATTTTTTTCCCCAACCATTTAAAAATGTCAAGTCACTCTTAGTTTGTGGGCAGTACAGAAATGGGCCGATTTAGCCCAGGGGCTGTCTGTAGTTTGTTGATCTCTGTTCTAGATTGCAAACGTGATCCTCCAGGCCCACATTTTGCAGTATTGGAGTCCTTGCCATCACCTAGAATTTCTGTATCTTTGCAGATAAAGGAATGTAAAATGAGGGCAAATAG